TATAAATTAAACAAGGTTACATTTCTCACACTACAGTTCAAGCTAGCCCAAGCATCAAGCCTCCTAACATCAACCACCTGCTCTCTTGCTGATAAGGTTGCTGCACAGCTCAGTAAGTGTATACAGAAAGGAATGTAAATACCATGAAGCACGGGAAGCGGAGAGTGGACATGCGCATTGGGGTACACAGGTCAGGGTAACAGAACACAATACATAAGCCTGGAAAATACAATTGGCAGCTTGCTGACACCGGGGCTGGGTCTGTTCCTTGGTTAGGTAAGGGACAGCGGCTGAGTGCGTCAGCATGCCCTATAGCCTTACCCGGCCGGTGTTCCAGATCAAAATCGTAAGCCTGCAAAAACAGCGCCCACCTAAGCATCCTAGGGGACATGATGTTTGGCAGCTGCTTATCGGGCGCAAAAATCCCCAGTAGCGGCTTGTGGTCTGTGACCAACACAAATTTCCTGCCAAAAACAAAATCGTGGAACTTTTTGACAGCCGCTACTAAAGCCAGACCTTCCTTGTCTATCTGGGCATAGTTCCGCTCCGCCTCAGATAGAGACCGTGAATAGAAAGCGATAGGCGCCTCGCTTCCATTTGGCATCAGATGGCTCAAAACGGCGCCTATTCCAAAAGGCGAGGCGTCAGCAGCCAAAATCAGGAGCTTTTGCTCATCATAATGAGTCAAAACGGCGTCGGATGTTAATAATGCCTTAACTCCATCAAAAGCTCCGGAAAAGCGCGTGATAAAAATTTAGCAAACCAAGGAACGCTTGCAGCTCTTTTTTACCCGCTGGCCTGGGGGCTTTTTGAATAGCCTCCACCTTTTTGCTTGTGGGGTGTACCCCTTCTTCGTCTATGCGAAAACCCAGAAATTCCACACTGTCAACGCCCAATGTGCATTTGGAGCGTTTCACCCTTAGCCCGGCAGTCTGAAAACGTTTCAAAACCTCTTTGACACGGTCCAATAACTCCTGTTCAGACCTTCCCGCAATTAAAACGTCGTCAAAATAGGGCACTGTGCCCGGTACCCCCCTTAATAGACATTCCATCAAACCTTGGAAAATTCCTGGTGCCACGTTAACTCCGAACTGGAGCCGATTAACTTTAAAAGCCCCCCTATGGGTTACAATGGTTTGGGCTTCAGCAGCTTCTGGAATGACAGGCAACTGCTGGTACACTTGGGCCAAGTCAAGTTTGGCAAATATTTTACCTCCCCCCAGGGAAGCCAGGATATGGCTTATCACCGGAAACGGGTACGAGTGCTGCTGCAATGCCTTATTTAAAGTGCATTTATAATCTGCACATATCCGCACAGACCCGTCCGGTTTGACCGGAGTTACTATAGGGGTCTCCCACTTGCTGTGAGGCACAGGCTCCAATACCCCTTGTTCAATGAGCTTGTCGAGCTCCTTCTCGACCCAAGGCTTTATGGATATTGGCACCTTCCTATATTTCAACCTTATTGGGGTCACAGCCGGATCTAGTTTGAATGAGATTGGGGGACCGTTGTACCCTCCCAACCCGTTTCCAAACACTGCAGGGAACTCTTCATACAGCATATCCCATTTATTCTCAGACATTTTGTTAACACCATATATACCAATGCCCAACGGTTTGAACCAATCCAACCCCAAAAGGTTTACTCGGTCCCCTTCAGCAACTAAAAATGACAGTTTAGCATATTTTCCCTTATACTCAACGTTGACAGTGTCCCTTCCGGCCAACGGAATTCTTCTTCCCTGGAAATCGGACACCCGTGTGTCCACATGCTGGAGCCGCCACCGACTTAGGTTTGGGAACAGCCGCTGCCACGATGCCGAGGAGATGACAGTGACTGATGACCTGGAATCGACTTCCATGGAGTAGGGCTGGCCATCAAGGAGTGGGGTGACAGAGATCTTCCCCGTACAACTGATGCGACAAATGGTTGATGCACTGGTCAAGGTGGACGTCATCTGGCAGTTGGCCTCATGGATTGGGGATCGCTGTTTGTCTCGGGTGCTGGGTGACAAACTATTCTTCGCTGACCTGCAGACTCTTGCAAGGTGTCCACGCCATCCGCACGCCCGGCACTCGAGGTCTGAGCCCAACAGGAGTCGCGCTGATGCTTCCCGCCACATCCAGAGCAGGCTTTGCTTGCCGTAGGTTTCATTTGGGTCCGCTTGTCTCGTACCACGTTGACGTCATCGTTCGCATCATCGTTCTCTCCTTCACGACACTGGAAATGGATGTGTTGCTCCGTTACAACCTGGCGCTGCCGGACTTCTTTCGTGGATCTGTCAGCTGCCTCTGCTGCAACAGCCTCTTGGTAGACCACGGCCCAGGTCAGGGTCGTTCATTCAAACAGCTTCTGTTGCAGCTTTTTGTCCCGCAGGCCGCACACGAGCCGGTCTCTGAGGGCCTCCTCAACGTCAGTGAAGTTGCACGGCTGTGCTGCTTTGCGAAGAGCCGCCACAAACTCTGCAATGGATTCACTCGCTGCCTGGCTTCTCTTATAGAATGCGTGCCGGCAGGTGATCTCTGAAGGCTGAGGGGAGAAATAGGCTTTCAGCTTCTTTGTGAGCTCCGCGAATGACACCGTCTTAATGTCGGCTGGAGCTACCAACGACCTGGCAATGTCGAAGGTGCCTTTCCCACAGGAACTTAGCAGGCATGCCCTCTTCTTTGCTTCCTCAGCGATGTCGTTGGCCTCTAAGTGGAACTCGAACCTCCCAGTCTTCCGATGTGGGTTCGAATGCCTCGAACTTCTGGCTATTGGCCATCCTGGTTGGCTCGTTCACCGGTGCTGGTGGTGCCGCCGCAGGAGTGACCACAGTGCTCTGTTCGTTTTCTTCCATCGTGGGGATTGTTAAGCAGGGCTGCCTACCCGCTCTAAGATCCCATCCTCGTCGCCAATTGTTAGATCGCTGCTAACAAAGGTCCGGAGAGTGATTTCAGCAAAGTGATTCAGCTTTATTGAAGTAACGAACAAGCACTTAAATGCATTCATAACCAGAACAGTTTAACATAGGGAACTAGGCTCCTTTTAAACATTCCCGGCTAACATAGCCACGCCTATTTACACTTAACAACCAATGAGGTTGTGCGGATAAGGACCAATGAAAGTTCTTCCCGCTCAGGGAACAGTTCCACTGTGATTGGTCGCCATTCAGGAGCGACCAATAGGGTGTTAGTGCTGAGGGAGCCTTGGCTGGCTCGAAGCTTAACATGGGAGGGGAATTAGACGATTCATGTAATACTTTCAATACATTACAATCATGAGTACACAAAGCTGTCATATGGAGTAAGACCATTGGTCTATCCAGGTCAATAGTATCTCCTCTGTCAGTAACTTTCCAGGGTCTCAGTTGGAGGGTTTTCACATGATCTACTACCTGATCTTTTTAACTGGAAGAGAAGAAGAGATTGGATTTATACCTCGCCCTTCACTTGGAGTCTCAGAGTGGCTTACAGTCTCCTTTCCCGTCTATTCCCCACAACAGAAACCCTGTGAGGGAGGTGGGGTTGAGAGAGCTCTTTCAAGAACTGCTTGTGAGAGAGCAGCTCTGAAAGAACTTGTGACTGATCCAAGGTCACACCAACAGCTGCATGAAACCCAGTTCTCCCAGATTAGAGTCCGCACTCCTAACCACCACACCAGACTGGCTCCTAGCCACTACACCAAACTATGCTCCTAACCACAACATCAGACTGGAAATACCAGGGATGGAGACCCCCTGCATGTGAAGCAGAGGCCATCCTTCGGAGCCACAGCCCCTCCCTATGAAAGTTCCTCCTGCTTCAGAAAGGTGAAACCATGGGACTCACTAGCCAGTGTCTTAGCATGGCCCTGTACAGCAGGGCCCGCCAACCTTATGTGGGCACCTTTGGAATTCTGACCAGCATAGTGGGTGCAGCCACAAAATGGCTCCTGTAGGAGGCAGAGCCAGCCACAATATGGCCACTGCAGCTTACTTTCAACTGCACAGTGAAGATCCTTGTGCTGTGGTGGTACTGGTCGGTGCTGCCAAAGTGACATTCTAAAGAATCTGCACAGCCAATCAAATCTCCAATGGCCAATCAGAAGCCTTGCTGGGAAGAAGCCCCAGCTGGCCCCACCCACTGTCTAAAAACACTTGTCAGGCACCAGAAAAGGTGTTGCCGGGCACTGTGGTAACCCCAGGCACCATGTTAGGGACCCCTGCTGTACACTGATACGGTCTACTGAAGTCTACTGGATGTATCCGCTGGCCTTGAATCTGTGCATTTTGACTGTATACGGCTGCACCCACACCTCATTGGTTACTGTGCGGGTGTTGTTTGCAACTGGATTTTTCCTGCGTGGACAAGACAGTCCACGAGGTGAATAATTGCACCAATTATTGTACAATACCCAACAGTGTGTGGTTGCATCCTATGCCTGGGTCTAGCAGTATGCTCATCCAGAGGAGCAAAACTTTATGTTTGTCAGAATAAAATGAAGGGGGGGAGCATAGGAGTA